TATATACACTGTATATTTGTATATATTTGTGTGTGTGTTTGTATTAGTAAAGTGGGTGTTTGGAAGTGTACAGATGATTAGTTTAATTTACCAAAGTTTCTTCTAAACATAGTTTTGTTACAAAAATTAATGCAATAATGCTTCTCTTTACAGACAGACAGACAGACTAAGCAAAACAGTCATGTCAAATAATTTTGCTGGCTCTGGTACACAATGACTTTAGGATCAAAGGTGTGATCTCAACATCTTCTTCAGGACATGCATGTCATTTCAGGGCCATATAGACTGTTCACACACTGTGTGATTTAAACTTTAATGTTAACAAAAAAAACCTGAATTGAGTATTAAGACCTGCAGTGTGAACACAGCCTTAGTTGTTTCTATGCTTTTACTGCTGAGATAAGCAAATTACAACCTTCAATTATAATGTAATTAAGTCTGAATTTAAAAGAGAATGTAACTGTTCTTTAATTACATTGTTAATTTCTATATTAATATTGTCAAGTCAGCATAACATTATAAATTTACTTACCAACAACATCTGTTTCCCATTGGGTTATGGCTTTTGCTCAAAGCATAGTTTAATGTTTCTTTTAGTGCATGGCTGAGAATTCCAATTAAAGTTTCCAATTATAGCTTCAAGTGGGAGGTGAATATAATAGCACAATAACTCATCATAAATTAAAAGTAATACAAAAATAAACAGAGTGAAAAGCAGTGAGGGCTCATTAAAATGTTGAACTGACCTGTAACGAGGAAGAGAGCAAAGTCTATTGGCTGTAATTAGCACACTGTCACTTGTTACACTGCAGCCCACGCTCCTAATGTGTCAGATCACTTCCCCACAGCATCAACCAATTGTTTGTTGCTCTTCTGGAAAGCAGCGGTAAAACAACTCATATCTATCCAGGCTTGTGGTCACTGAGGGCATCTACAGTGGACATGTGCATGGGTGTTAGACTTACAAAATATAATGTGAGCAACTCATGAGGTTATTACACTTTACTCATGGTCACATTACTTCTGCTAAATGACCAATAAAAAGAGGTTGAAAACATAGGAGTGGATTTCCCAAAGCATTCCTCCATGACTGTTGCCTAACATCCCAAAACTTACAAAAGGATTTTATTTGGGGGGAGGGGGGGGGGGGATAAGTTACACAACAAAACGACCACTTTGAAGATGAAACATATATTTAAATGAGAAACAAACAAGACAAGATAGAAATTACCGCCAACCATCTCTGGTGTCCCTCGGTCACCATTCAGTTGTTGGAATCATCACAGGTCTTCATTATTTAAATAATCTAATAAGGTGAACAGACGGATGAACCGACAGACAGACGGGGCTAAAGTGATCTTGTCAAACTCCTACACAAAGTGTGTTGAGCAGGCCTCCATTACGATGCACACAAAATTTGGTTCAGATCAGATTTGTGTGATTTAGAGTCAACCGTGTGCAAAGTGGGCGGGGCTAAAGTGATCTCCAACTTGTTGAGCAGGTCTCCCTGATGGTGCCCACAAAATTTGGCACTGATTGGATCATGTATGTGTGACTTAGAGCTAGTCGTGTACAAACAGCAAGGCATCAGCATTCATCACTCTGCCACACCCACACCATCCCACCACCAGTCGGTGTTGAGAGCGGCAAACAGCATGTGAAGTCTGCAGGTTCAAAGCTGCAGGGGGAGTTAGTTTGGATACATGTGCAAGAAAAGAGACAAATTTTCAGCTTTGATCCAAAACGGCCAACTTCCTGTGGGGTTTGGAGCATGACTCGAGACTTTTTTGAAGGTCCTGAGATGTTACACGTGTATCAAATTTCATGGTTCTAGGTCAAAGCATGACTGTGGGGCTGACTTTTAAAATAATAGTCCACACCCCACCAAAACTGGACTTCATTTTTGTAGTGGGGTGGATTAGGACTGACCATAGCGTATTGGGTTCAGATTGGCTGAAATATGTGGAATTTAGAGCCAAATGTATATCAACCATGTGATGTCTGACTTTGCTGCACCACCATGTCCACACCTTTCCCCCAAACGCCTTAGTGTTTGAAAGCAAGTGAGATCAAGTTCTTATCTGTGTTCTGACACAATTTGTTGCTGATTAGGTGAAGGAGGGTCAGAGATGTAGCTTTCAAAGCAAAAACTAAAAGGTCACTTCCCGTTTTCAGGGGTTGTGGTTTTGATGATGTCATATGACCACACTGAATGGTCATATGCACGACAACATGGATGACTCATACCAAGTTTAGAGTACTTTAGCCTTTTTATGTGAAAGTTACAACTTTCTAAAATGGACAGGAACAGATGGAGAGCATTTCTAAGTCCACCACCTCAGCGACGGGGGACAAAAATACTTTCACTTCGTTTGAATGATGATACGATGTTTCTCGATTTCACAGAGTCTGTCATGATTCATTTCTGTTCATCATCGGACAGAGCGCCGTTCTGTTTTCTGTTGAGTATTGTGAATCGCTCTTGTCTGGTCTGTCACCTGTAGGACCGATCTATCAGTGGAGAACCTAGGAGCAAATGCCCCCAAAAGCACAGCTTCTGGGATCATACAGACACACAAACATCTCCACCACGATAAGGTGGTGATTCCTGAAGGAGATAATTAAGCCATTCATCCATTTTTTAAAAATATTTTGTAAAAATAAATACATATGTTTGTATAATAACAACAACAACAACAGGTCACCTTATATTTTCTTTTCCTTTCTATATAAAAATAGAAATTGTAATTATTAAGTATTTTCAGGGTTTTATTGAAAACAAAAATAAAATGTTATAAAAGATTAACAAAAAGTGTAGGTGTGTGAAGGGGCATAAGGCACCAATTAAAAAGTCCTGGTCTTCATCAGTCTGGGATCCAATGTTTATAACTTTAGGAACCTGTTTTTTTACACATCAAAACTTTTGATTTTGGATTCTGGCCATTACACATGCCCACCATTTGTGTTTTTGCACAGATTTTGAGTGCAAAGATTGTTTACATTTCCCCTCACTGTGTGAGTGTCTTTGAATTAAAAGTTATTCAATTATTCAAATTTAATGGTTTTTAAATGCCAATTTAAAGCAATTTCAAATTATGTTTTATGCCTTTGAGAATGAGGATTGTATTGCAAGATGACAAGCATAAAAACAGAGATTTATATGATGGAAAAAAACTTGCAAAGCTGTTCCTACGTGCATGAAGGAGATGAGGTGATTGTGTGAAAACCTGTCACGGGTTACTCGGGGCTAGAAATAGCTAATGGGCAGTCAGTCAATTTTCACCTCCATCCCAACTGCTGCTTCACTCTTTTAGTTGCAGGACCTGTGCTCCTGGGGGAAAAAAAAAGGAGTGCCTCTATATACCAGAAGGTGTACAGATCTGCAGGTCAGCCCATAGCAATTGTAAACGTGATCACACTCCTTTCAGCCTACCAAGCAGAACTGTATCACAATATGGTTGAGGTACATTTGGGCACCTGAGTCCAGCAGTTTGGGAAGAGATCTGCGTTGTGGCAAATCTTATCTTCCGGGTCTCCAGAGGTGTGGTGCAGGGCTGTGGCTGTGTTATGGGTTTAGCAGCGGCAGGAGAGAGATCATTCTGGCTGAACCTGTCCAGCTTGACAGAACAGACCATTCCCCCATTCGACCCGTTGAGGACTAAGGGGCTGTTTGGAGAGGCAGTCACAGCCATGCAGCAAGCTAGTGACACGAGGAAGAAGCCAGTTGAGACATTCGATTGCCTCCTGTGCAAAGCAGTACAGCTGCCACTGTTGGCTCTTCAGGGTTTCGCAGCCTTAGCAGCGAGGAGTCACAGTGTATACTACAACGGATCCAGGTTCCATTCGCCAGAACCATCATCAGCAGAGACTACAGACTCAGAAACGGGGGGCAAAAAGCCTTTTGCCGCAGGTGCTCCTGTGGGGGGACCTAACCGCTGCTCCCGCCCTGCGGAGGGAAAAAAAACCAGAACAGGAGATTGCATTGGTCGTATAACAGGAGGACCCTTTAAAAGCCTGAAAGCTACAGAAAGTCACTTTATGCTGCTGACATATTGACAGTTGTCTGTATTTGGACTCCTTGCTGCAAGTAAGAGAGTTCAACCAGACCTGCTGCTCGTTCGTCATTCCTTGTGTCAAGTATCTTCATAACCAATTTATCCAACAACATTATTGAAAACCTTTATTTTCTCCTTAAATCATGCCACAAGTTTTGGTTGTGAACTTAATGGCTTGTTGTCTTTTACTGGTAAGCAGATGTTACCATAGAATAGTTTCAAATTAATTTCTTGTCTCTTCATGCAGCACTAAAAAAATAAATAACAAAACCAGTAAAATGTGACTGAACAAACAATAAGTCAAAAAGTGTAACAAGTAAACGAGCTTTGAGGAATCCTTCAGCCGTAAACTCCAGATGGCTCAGTGTGAGACAGAAAAGCATCAGGATTTCATGGTGACTGTTGTGTGAAGTCCATAGGAAGCCAGTCCTTCAGATAAGAAAATCCTGCAAATTCAATAAAGCCTTGTTGTTTTTAATAATTCCAGGAACACAAATATTTCAATTAGGTAGTTCTCACAGGCAAGCAACAAAAAACATAAAACCATTTATACTTCTCTTACTCTGTTCCCCTGTTCGGTGATATTTTAGAACCCAAATAAGTTTTGTTCAGCTGTAAGGTATTACAATAAATCTTAAAAATAAGTTTAACATGTAACTACATTTTATTATTCATTTGAACAAATAAAACAACCAATCTATGTTGAAAAGTCAGGCACCTCAATCAACTGCATTTGGTTTTAAATGACTGCTACATGTTCTTTTATCTTAACATACTTTCAAATGAAAACAAAAGCAATAAACAATACCTAAATTATTATTATTATTATTATTATTATTATTATTATTATTATTATTATGAATAAAAATATACAATTTTGCTGTTTGTAGGGTTTTGAGTGTATTTCTTGGTATTGTATTCATGTTAGTGTTTTTACTTTATCTCTCCTGCGTGCAGTGCTTCTGTTTCTGCCAGTGTTCCTCCTTAACTACACATTTGCTCACCTGATTCTTGTTGTCACTCCCCAGGTGTGTCTCATTAACCTTTGTCAACTCACCATTATTGGCTGTGTCCTGTCGTCCCTCCTCTGTCGATTCATTGTACCACTGTGGCTTATTGTAGTTAGTCTTCCGTACTCTTTTGTGTGTTTTTGAGAAGAGTGAGTCTGTAAGGCTTGAAAGGACTGAACCCCAGGTGCAGACTGAAGGACTGATGGACTTGAAGAGTTGTTAATAAAAAAGGCTTAACAACAACAAAAGGCTGGCATGGCAGCAAAAAGGTACTTACAAAAATATCCTGGAGCTTGGACAGTTACAAACATAGGCTATGGAGACAATTCACAGAACAAACAAATGCTCTGACACCAGACTGAGGACAGAAAACAGAATATAAAGGAAAACTAACGAGCTACAACAAGAAACACCTGGAGGGAGCAGGTGAGTGTGGGCGGGGCTGGAGCACAGACAGGTAGGAGGAGCTTAACAGAAACCAGAAGAGTGACCAAAAAAACCCCCACTCACATATCAGATATACACACTCACGCAGACAGACCACGACAGAGCCCTCCTTGCTGCCTTGGTCAATTAAGTCCAAGTCCATTGTGGACAACCCTGACCATCCTCTTCATCAGACTGTCATAGAAAGACAAAGTGTCTTCAGTCGGAGGCTTCTTCAACTTCGATGTAATACAGACCGCTACAGAAGATCTTTCCTGCCTACAGCCATCAGCATCTACAATAAGTTTATAATTAAATGAGTTACAACAACACCTAATTTCCCTCTGGGATCAATCAAGTATTTTTGAATTTGAATTGAATTGAATTGAAGCATAATTATTTCTTCGTTTTTCAAACACTGAAAAATACTTTTGATGGTCTTTTCCCATCCTGTTGATCAACTGGCTGCAGCTATTCCTTTTAAATCTTGGAATTTATACCTAACCATTTTCTTGAAAACCAATGGAATATTTAATGCCAATGATATTTAAATTTAATGATTTTTAAAGCAATTTAAGGTTTTACATTGTGCAAAATGCATGTATATTTTCAACTATTTAATGCTTTATAATGCCCAGCAGAAACCCTGATGTATGGGTTAGGAGACATGCCTGGTCATGACTTTTAGCATTTTAAAAAAACATTAAATAACTACTCTAAGTTATTCAATATACATTTGAGATGAAGTGACTGCACACTCACTGTGCCATTAAAACTCATTTCTCAGCCAGACTCTGTGGTGCCTTTGGAAGCTAGACAGCGTCCGTCCCGTTGTAACGCTTCAGATCTGGAGATAAACGATGGAAAGGTGTCATGGTGTGAATCTCCTCCAGTGTCCAGGATCTTTTTTGAAATCTTTTTTTTTTTTTTGGCAACATCAATTTGGACAGGTGTCCATCCTCCCTGAGAACATCTCATGCTGTATTATCTAACACAATTGATCTATGATGGGAACATTTGCTAAGATTTATACTCTAAAAACCCCCAAATGAGATTTTAATGTTAAAGAGGAATGAACAACAACAAGGAGTTGATATGAATATTTATTTAAAGACTTTATTTCTTACAGATAGTCATTTTAAACAAATTTGTCACTTGTGGCTTTCATATTTTCTGTTAGTAAAACCTGTGTTTTCTTGTAAATTCACTCAAATCAAAAATTATTTTGAAGAAACAACATGTATGAATGGACAAATCATTTTTCAAAGAATCTTTTGTGTAAATACAAGCATCATGCAAAAGTTATGAACCAGAGCTGATGATAGAAATAGCAGTTAGAGTCATAAATTTAGGCCTCATCTACGCTACTCTGGATATTCTGTTATTTAAATGTATTTTCTCTAATTTTGTCTTCACGATTCATACAAAAACACTGAAGTATCCATCACTAGGTGGCGAGAATATTCACATTAGCAATTCATTAAAATACAGAGAAAAAACATGCTTGGCTTGTTCAACTGATGGTAAAAAAATGGACACCTCACCGGATTCTGTTGGGAATTGTCTAGTATAATACTACGTATAATTTTATGTACAAAGTGAGTCAAAAGCCTCAAGACACCCTTTTATTTTAGAAAAGAAATGAAACATAAAATATCTGAATACCTCAGCAAATAATGGGTGAGGGGACCTATGTTTTAGGCTATATCTGGAACATGGCTTCCAACTTGAAAGTCAGATTATTTCCAGAGGGAAGGGGGGTCATGTGGCATATTAAAGAAGGCCAGAATTGTCCCAGAAACAGATTGCTGCAATCAGATATGCAATATCTGCTGTGTTCAGATGTTATCAACACAGAAAGTTCAAAACATTTTTGTTTGTCACAAATAACTAACAATGAAATTGACGAAAGCTCTGTGTTCTTCACCAGGGATCACAATGAACACGCCAAACATCTGCGCATCACACGCAACGTTCCTCAAACTTAATAGCTTACTCAGATGTATTTTAACAATGATACATGTACAAAAAAAATTAAAATGAAATTACATAATACATATTAAACTGCAAGTAGTCTTTTAAACAAACACCTAATGTAGAAATAACTCAAAATAGCAGCCTCTCCAGCAGGCCTCATCTACGCGGCACCTCAGCTGCGCGGGGTGGTGGGGAGGAGGAGGAGGAGGAGGGTCTTTTAAAGACGTGTCTACATTTGACTTTAATTTTTTCTAAACTCCCAGAGTTCTCTGAGTCAGCTTCAGATGTTTGTAGTTAATCATAATACCTTCTAAATTTAACCAGGTGCTTCAATGCCTTTAAATTACACAATAATTTTACTGGAGAAACTTGTCAGTTTGGTTTAGAAAAACAGTAAAAAATATTTTTTTCTGTGCAGAGAACTTCCTCTGCTATAATTTATTTTAAATAAATATATCAAAGCTCATCAGTTGAAAACACT